CGCTGGCTGGCAAGCACTGCGTCCAGGATGTTGGGCTCAAGCTTCTTCCAGCCCCGCTTCTCCGAGAACGCTTGGTAAACGAAAGATGCGTGGGTCGAAGGGGGGGGCATGCGAAGTGATTCCTCAACGCCTGTTGCACCTTTTGGAAAAAATCATCGGCATTCACCATGTGCGACCGGGAACGCACCAGGACCCAAACCTCCGGACCTTGCTCAGCATGCTAGGCCTAGCCGGCTTAAACAGATCCGGATACGTTTCTATGCACGTGCCGGGCCCCAGGAAGCTCGAGGGCACAGTTGTGCGAACGAGTGCCCGCGGGAAGGGGGCCGAGACCTCTGGGGAACCACGTTGTGAAACGCTTTCCGCTCTGGCCAAGCATGCTGCGGGGGCGCGCAAGCATGGATTAGCGATCCATGGATCTGGCGCGCGGTCGGCAAATCCATGGATCGGGGGAGGTCCCTCCCCAAGATGCGACCGGTGCCGCCTCGCTCGGCGGCGGAAATCCGCGATCTCCCCCTGGGAACGGGACCCGTCGCCAATCCACGCCCCATAAAATCCATGCTTGCGATCGCCTGAATGCTGTGTGAATGGCACCTGCCAGTGCGGTCTCCAACGTCGGCAGTGCCAGAGGGCGAGCTCCACTCAAGGAGGGCTCGCACGCGGCGAGGAGGCCGCCAGGGCACAGGCCGGGCTCGCCCAGGGACGCACCCATCGGGCGGGAGATGCGGTGCACATCAGATTGGAGCAAAGAGCGGGGGCGCGCAAACATGGAAGAGCAATCCCCGGATCTGGCGCGCGGTCGCCACATCCATATGGATCGGGGGAGGTGCCCTCCCCAAAGTGCGGCCGCTGCCGCCTCGCTCGGCGGCGGAAATCCGCAATCTCCCCATGAAATGGGGCCCGTCGCGAATCCACGCCCCCTCAATCCATGCTTGCGATCGCCTGAAGAGTGGAGCATAGATGAAGGGGCCCCAGGACACACAAATAAATACAAACAAATAAAAGGATTCCCCATATTTTCCTATATGTTCTGTGCTTTTGTCTTCCCCCCCACTTCCCATATTTTCCTATATTTTCCTGAGAGTCGACGATTAATTGTGTCTGTGTGTTTCTTTCCCTCCTGAATAGAACGGGAAGCGCCACTGCTCGCGGCTCCTCCAACAACGTGTGAGCTCGGCGTCGCTCGGACGCCCGCTCCCCGTGCTCTGGTCGGCTGCGTGCGTGCCTTTCTTTGTGTGCACGATCCAGGATGCCCCATCGATGGTCCTCGCCGAGGAAAAAAAACGCACCCGTACGAGCGATGCCAAGCCAACGGCCAACGGCCGGGGCTCGGCAGGGCCCAACATCTGATCTGGGGAGACCAGAAGGTACCGATGCCGCTGCTCCCTGGACCTCTCCTGGGGTGCGCTCTGACCAGGATTTCGCGGCGAATCCAGCAGTGGCGACGAGGACCTCCAAGGAGGCCCAAAAGGGGAAAACGGGCGAGGGGGTAGAGGTATGGGTACCTTTTCCTCTTCCGATAGTGCCAAGCTAGAACGCGTGATACTGCCAACGCGCGCCTGTCAAAAGGCAGGCGGTGCAGCGAGGGCGCCGACACAGGCTGCTGAGCGATCCTGCGCTTCTGAAACGGCCGATCGTTCAAGGTTGAATGACCCCCGCGGTGTCAGGAACCAACGCCACGATACTACGAACCTGCCAATTTCTCGGATCCCCGACACTTACTACGTTAAATCGGGCATGTCCCTCTACAGGAGGAATATTCAAACATAGTTTAGAGATAGTCTGGGGACGATTGTTCGACTATGTTTGGCTATATGCTTGAATATGTGTTGACTCTCTTTGATTTTTCGTCCGACATCCGCCTGCAGGAGGACATGCCCGACCTGACCCTTGTGCTAACCCCGAGTGTGTGTGTGTGTGTACGTGCGTGCGTGCGTGCGTGCGTGCGTGCGTGCGTGCGTGCGTGCGTGCGTGTGTGTGTGTGTGTGTGTGGTGTGTGTGTGTGTGTGTGTGTGTGTGTGTGTGTGTGTGTGTGTGTGTGTGCGTGCGTGCGTGCGTGCGTGCGTGCGTGCGTGCGTGTCGTGTGTGTGTGTGTCTGCGTGTGTGTGTGTGTGTTGTGTGTGTGTGTGTGTGTGTGTGTGTGTCTGTGTGTGTGCGTGTGTGTGCGTGCCTGCGTGCGTGCGTGCGTGCGTGCGTGCGTGTGTGTGTGTGTGTGTGTGTGTTGTGTGTGTACGTGTGTGTGTGTGTGTGTTTTTGTACGTGTGTGTGCGTGTGTGTGTGTGTGTGTGTGTGGTTGTGTGTGTGGTGTGTGTGTGTGGTGTGTGCGTGCGTGCGTGCGTGGTTGCGTGCGTGCGTGCGTGCGTGCGTGCGTCCGTCCGTGCGTGCGTGCGGGCGGGCGGGCGTGGCGTGGGCGTGGGCGTGGGCGTGGGCGTGGCGTGGGCGTGGGCGTGGGCGTGGGCGTGGGCGTGGGCGTGGGCGTGGGTGGTGTGGGTGTGGGTGTGGTGTGGGGTGTGGGTGTGGGTGTGGGGTTGTGGTGTGGGTGTGGGTGTGTGGGTGTGGTGTGGGGTGTGTGGTGTGGGTGTGGGTGTGGGTGTGTGGGGTGTGGGTGTGGGTGTGGGTGTGGGTGTGGGTGTGGGTGTGGGTGTGGGTGGGTGGGGTGTGGGTGTGGGTGTGGGTGTGGGTGTGGGTGTGGGTGTGGGTGTGGGTGTGGGTGTGGGTGTGGGTGTGGGTGTGGGTGTGGGTGTGGGTGTGGGTGTGGGTGTGGGTGTGGGTGTGGGTGTGGGTGTGGGTGTGGGTGTGGGTGTGTGTGTGTGTGCGTGCTTACCCCGAGCAGCTCCGCCGGCGGCACGCCGATGAGGGCCGATGCTAGGCCACCGGGCGGCGTCCAGCCGTGGCGGCGCCCGCATTGGTTGGGCGCCGCCAGTCGACACGACGCGAACCTACCGCACTCGATTTAACGGGCGAAACTTTTTCGCAGTCGGGGACACCTGCCCCTGGGCGGCTGGAAAGTTTATACCCTTACGGTGGCACCGTAGGGGTATAAACTTTCCAGCCGCCCAGGGGCAGATGTCCCCGACGGCGGAAAGTTTATCTTATACCGTTCTTCGCTCGCTGATCGATGTCGTGATGTTTCACCGTCTAAAACGACGCGAAGATCGGGACAAAATCGGATCGGGATACCTCGAAATCTCTGAGAGTCGGCGAGTCTGGAGGATGCATTGGGCGCCGCGGCCGCTCCAGAGCGTTCCGGAACGCTCTGAGAGCGCTCCGGAACGCTCTGGAGCGATTTATCCCGATCCTAGCCCTGTTTTACCGTGGGGCTTCCGAGCGGTCTGGACCTCCTCCCCTGGCCGTGCTCTTCACCCCGGCTCGCGCGTGTGACGGCCAGGGGGCCCGGGGAGGGCCCCGGACGACCGAGAGGTGCTGAAAATACTTGCCGCCGCGATGTTTCCTCCCCCGCCGCACAGCGCGAGGCCGTCCGGAGAGGATCAGCGATCTTCGCGGGAGCCACGCGGCAGCTCCCCGGCGCCCGCGCGCCGGCCCGAGCCGCGGAAGCTCCAGTGCTCCCAGAACACGCGCGGCCGGTGCAGCTCCTGGAGCTCGGGCAGCTCCCGCAGGCGCCCCGCCTCCAGGGGCAGGTGCACGTCGCAGCCGAAGGCCTCGTGCCCGAGGCGCGCGTCGGCCTGGAGGCGCCGCAGCAGCCGCTGGAGGTGGCCGACGCCGCACGAGCCGAGGGAGACGACGCGGCACAATCATGCACCAGCTCTCGAAAGTCCGCGCGGACTTCTCGGACTGGCGCCGGATCCGCCCCCGGCAGCGCCTCCTGCGCCGCCCCGGCAGCGCCAGGGTTAAGGGGCCCGCGGTGGCGGTCTGGGCTACCCGCGCGGACCCGCAAGAGTTTTCGTGTCTGCGTGCCGACTCTTCTCCTCCGGATGAAGCCTCCTGGGTCAGGACTTGGTGGTATGGGCCGACCGCGACGGCGACCTCGCTGATCAGAGGAGCAAGAGGGACCTCCGCCGCCGTTCGGGGGCGTCCGGGAGGGGGGCGTCCAAGAGGGGGGTGCGCCAATCATGACCCGAGGCACGTGCGCGGCCCAGGGGGGGGGGGGGCAGGGGACGTCTTGAAACATAAAAAGAGGCGCCATGAAATTAAGCGGAGACATCGTGGCCCCCGCCATGATAGCCACACACCCCTACAGCCGGCCTGCATCAGAAGGATGCGCGGTGAGGACGCAAGGGCCTTGGACGCTCATTTCGGAGATTCTCGAGCGGGGCGCGGCCAGCGACGGTGGCCAATGATGGACCGAGGAGGCCAGGATGCAATGATACCCTTCGGAAAGCGGGCCCCATCCTTGCTATGCGGGTTGGCTGTGCCCAGACCCCCGACGCCATGATCTCCTCATGACGTCGACCCCCAGGGGTCCCGACCCCTTCCCCGGGACCGGCTTCTCATCCTGAGCCGCTTTTCGGCGGTCAGGAGGCCCCGGTACCAAGGGCCCCCAGAGGCCGAACATAGCGAAAAACCTTCCGTCGCGATTTGTGCCTAACCCGAGGGGGTCTGCTGGGATGACCGTGGGGGTTTCTAAGTGGATAGGGGGGCTACAAGTGGATGCCAAACTAATTATATCTGGCCCAACCAGGCTTACAAGTTGGGTACAGATTCCCCGAGTGGCTTTGGGGGGGAGCCCACTTCGCCAGGATCTTCAACCCCCGTAAGCTACTGAGGGCACTCGTAACCCACCCATAAACCAGGATGGGCCAGATATAACCCACCTTGGCATCCACTTGTAACCCCCTTATCCACCTAGATCGGGAGCGGCCAAGAGGGGGGTGTCCAAGAGGGGGGGGTGCAAATCATGACCGGCGGCATGTGCGCGGCCCAGCGGGGGGCCAGGGACGTAATGAAACAAGAAGAGTCGCATGAAATCTGGGGAAATATCATGGCCCCCGCCATGATATCTACCCCTCCCTAGTCATCACCCCCCTCTTTGCCGCCCCCACCTAGAACCCCCCACGGTCATCCCAGTGGATGGTCATCGCCCCCCTCCTGTGCCGCCCCTGGGCAGTGGACGCATCGAGAAGGCCAGGCGCGGCGGCGGCCCCGGCGGCGTGGCACGCCTCCCACAGGGCTGGACCTCAACGGTGCTGTTCGTTTTCGTGTTGTCTTCGTTGTCCTGCAAAACAGAGGAGCAGGAGGAGGAGGAGGAGGAGGAGGAGGAGGAGGAGGAGGAGGAGGAGAAGGGAAAGGAGGAGGAGGAGGAAATGGAGGAGAAGGAGAGGGGGGAGGAGGGAGGAGGAGGAGGAGGAGGAGGAGGCGGAGGAGGGAGGGAGGAGAAGGAGGAGGAGGAAGGAGGACGAGGCTTCGACCGGAGAGCGCCGAGCTCAGCCCTGCCGAGGCCCAGGGGCGGCCCGCCGAGGGCGCAGCCGCGGGGCACACGCTCCTCCTCCTCCTCCTCCTCCTCCTTCTCCTCCCTCCTCCTCCTCCTCCTCCTCCTCCTCCTTCCCCTCCTCCTCCTCCTCCTCCTCCTCCTCCTCCTCCCCCTCCTCCTCCTCCTCCTCCTCCTCCTCCTCCTCCTCCTCCTCCTCCTCCTCGTTTTGCCTTCGCTCCTCCGCTGCTGCAGAGCGGAGCCGAACCGAAGACAGCCCACGAAGTCGCCAAAGCACCGTTCAGGTCCACTCGGGGGCGGCCAAGAGGGGGGCGTCCAAGAGGGGGGGGCGCAAATCATGGCCAGCGTCACGTGCGCGGCCCAGGGGGGGGGGGGCACGAACGCAATGACACAAGAAGAGGCGCCATAGGGAGTCTGGGGAGAGATCGTGGCCCGCGCCATGACACCCCCCCTACACGTCGTTCATTTCTAATCGCGCTCATTTCTAATTGGGCTCGTTTCAACTTGTTCCTGGCCCCCCAGTGACCAGGAAAAGGCCCAGGATAGAAAAACTAGACATGAAAGGAGCTTGCCCCCCCCCAAAAAATCAAAGAACGTTCGAATAATTAGAACTGAAGTGTGGCCATCGCCCCCATCTTTGCCTCCCCCGATCAACCCCTGGCCTCCCACAGGTGCGCCACATCGGCCCACCCGAACGGGCCCCGGCCCGCGGCTCGGAACGGGCTCCGCGGCACCACGCGCAGCGTGCACAGCGGGCCCGGCGGGCCCTCTGCGGCGCCGCCGCCCCAGAGGGAGTAGAACCCCTGGTGGGGAGGCTACACCAACACACCAGAGAGGAGTGCCGATACCCAGACCCCCCTCGAGCCATGAAACCATCAAGACGGAAGGTTTTTCGCTGTTTTCGGCCTCTGGGGGCCCTCACCGGGCTCTCGGGACCGTCAGAAAAAGACTCAGGATGAGAAGCCGGTCCCGGTGAAGGGGTCGAAACCTCTGGAGGTCGACGTCACGAGAAGATCATGACGTTGGGGGTCTGGATGCCGCTGCTCCTCAGACCTCTCCCGGGGCGCGTTCGAACTAGGGCTTCGAGGCGGATCTAGCTGTGGCGACGGGGGGGCCCCAGAAAGCCCAACAAGCCCAACAAGGAGAAAAACGAGGGATGGGCAGCGGCATCGGTCAGAGGGAGGGGGCCGAAAGTTCAGTCATTGTCCCTAGGCGCGTGTCTGAACTGGGGTTCTGCGGTGCGGATTGTTGCGGCGCCTGCGGCGGACTCGCTGTGAAATGTGTGAAGGATCGGCGCCGGCGCCTGCGGCGGGCTTCACCAGGAGCCTCGCAAGCAGCCGGCCCGCCGCCCCCGCGCTCTTATCCGCAACTGCGGGGTGCCACGCACGGTGAGGACATTGACCAAGGAACCGTCAGGTAAAGAATCCAGGCCAGTTGGGCACCAATTGATACTTGGCCACGGACACCACCGCCTCCCATTGCCAGATCAGAAACCCTCCAGGGGTATGAAGCCTCCTCGGCACATTCCTCGTCGAACGCCCCCACCGTACTGATTCTTCTTCTTCGGTGGCAATTCGTGGGAGCCTCGTCCACGCTACTCGACGGCAGTCGACGCTAAATCGACGCTAGCCGACGCCAGTCGACGCTGAATCGGCGCAGTGTCATTGATTACCGCTGCTCGACGCTAGCCGACGCTGAGGACGGAACTGCGACGCGGAGTTCGGAAACCCTGAACCCAGAAACGTTTCACCTCTTGGGGGCCCATTTTTAACTTCCGCCGCCTTCCGCCGGCCTTCCGCCGGCCTCCGCAGGCGGAGGCGGCCTCGATCTACTTCCGAGGACCCTCCGCCGCCCTCCGCCGAAGAGACGAGAACTCTCCTTTTACCCTCGAAGGCGAGGCCGTATCTTGGAACGCTCCAAGACGGCATGCGATGCTCCCCTGATCTGCAACCGAAGTCTTCGGGGCGCATTATGTTCGGCGCCGCCTTTGCGCGGCGCCGCCGTTGAGCCGGCAACTGTTGTGGCGGCAGCCGTGTTGCCAGAGTGTGCCGCTGCAGGGGTCGTTCGGCCGTTCGCGCCAGGGCGCCCAGCTCCGCCAATGAAAACGTTATGGCACGCAAACACCGGTAACTTTGTCGGGCCCCAGCGACCCCCTCTGGATGGGGATATAGGTCGTTCTCTTCCGGTTCCGAGGGGTGTATCCCCACCTGGGGTGTCAATTTGGTGGGGGTCTCGAAGGGGCTGGGGATGGGCATGGGGACCGGATCAACGATACCGACCCGATCTGCAACCGAAGCCTTCGCACCTGGTACACGACGCAGCGCGCGGGGCTGACGCCCAGGGCGGCCAGCGCCGCCGAGCGGCGCAGCTCCTCGGTGTCCGGGCGCGGGCCGTGCAGCTCGAGGCGGTCCAGGGCGGCGGGGCCCCTCGCCGTCGTCGTCGCCGTCGTCGCCGCCGACAACGTCGCCGCCGCCGTCGTCGTCGTCGTCGCCGTCGTCGCCGTTGTCGTCGCCGTTGTCGTCGCCGCCGCCGTCGTCGTCGTCGTCGTCGTCGTCGTCGTCGTCGTCGTCGTCGTCGTGGACCGCCTCGCCGCCGCGCGCCACGTGGCCCCCACGTCCAGCAGGTGCTGCCGCATCGCCTCGCGGGTGGCGAAGGCGGCGCGGCAGTGCCCCCAGGCCTTGTCGGCGGAGAGGGAGACCCCGAAGTGCAGGGCGGTGCCTCGGTGAGCGTCTTCTTCTTCGGCGTTCCGACATTCGGCGGACAGGGGGGGGGGAGGGGTGCGCGGCTCCAGACCTCCGCTTGATGCAACTGTTTGCAGCTGTGCGTCCTGCGGGGGAGACTTCACTGATTGGGACAGGCGCCAAAACAGCTAAGATCTACTCCATGGGGGAGGATGGGGGGTGCGAGGGCCCGCGCCGAACGGCAAAACAATGAAAAAGAAAACGGTGACTTGGCTTCGGTTACTTCGGTCATCCTCTGTTCTTGCAACAAGTCGGGGATCTTCTGACCCGGGTCAATCCAGACCCGGGTCAGCGGGAAACCAAAACTGCAATGCAGGAAAAAAAACACTGCAACGTAGATCTTCGCAAACCCGGGTCAGCCAATATGCGCGGCCGCCTCGCGGCCACGAGCGGCTCGCTAACCCGGGTCAGCCAGAGAGGGTCTTCGCAGGATCCTGTGGGATCTGGTGCTGGCTGACCCCCGTTTGCATTGACCCCCGTCTCAAGGCTCCCGGACAAGGCCCTGGAGGGCCCAGCCGGGCCTGCCTGCGTTGGGCGGGCGTGTGTCCTGTATCCTGATGCTTCTGAGTATGCCCAAACGAATTCAGAGTGACCGTTTTGGGTATGGTCGTCTTGAGATTGGTCATTCTGGGTATGCCTGAGCGCGTTTAGAATGGTGGTGGTGGTGTCTGTAGAAGAAGCAAAGCAAAGGGAGACCTGGCCTTGGCGCACGAGCGAGTCACGGAACCTGCCCCACAAGTCCTCAGTGGAACGGAAGCAGCACAATCATAATGCCTCGGAGGTCCACGCGGCTCTCATGAACCCGCGCTGGACACCCATCCTTGGTACACGAAGCGCGCCAGGGGCGGCGCCAGAGGCGCCGCGAGTGGGGGCCCAGCCCCGATCCAAGAGACCCGCACGGAGCTCGGAGAAAGTATGTGTATACAGTTTGTTGCTCTTTGATGAACGGGCGAAGAACGGTATAACATAAACTTTTTCGCCGTCGGGGACACCTGCCCCAGGGCGGCTGGAAAGTGTATACCCTTACGGTGGCACCATAGGGGTATAAACTTTTCAGCCGCCCAGGGGCAGGTGTCCCCGACGGCGAAAAAGTTTATTTTATACCGTTCTTCGCTCGCTGATTTGAGTCCTGGAACTCGGTGGGCAGCCTCAGGCGGAAGTAGGCGTGGTAGAGGACGGGGACCTCCCCGAGCACCTGCAGGAGCGCCGGGGCCCCGCGCAGCCGCATCGGCAGGTAGAGCCCGCCCCGCGCCCGCAGCCACTCCGCGCCGGGGCACACGCTGCCCCGCAGCACGCTGCCCCACTCCGCGACGAGCCTGGCGGGGGCCCCCGAGCGGTGTGGTGACCAATGCGTGTCGCGACCACTGGGGATCCGGGGTCACTGCACGGTCCTGGGGCCGGGCCGTTCTCCGAAAGGATCCTTCTCGGGCGACCGGGGCCGGGGCCTCCGAGGTCCCATAGGGCCGTGCGGTGCCGGACCGCGCGACGAGGTCTCTTGGGGTTCCGAAGTCACCACGTGGTCCGTCATTACCAGCCTCGAACGTATCCCTATCCCCAAGATTGACACGCCAAAAGGCGATGACAATCTTAGGGATTCGCCCTCAAAAAATAATGGAATCCCTAAGATTGGCATCGTGATGAGGAGGTGCCCAGCATAGGGATAGGGACATGTTCCAGGCTGGTAATTTTCGGCGCCCCCCGAGCCTAGGATGCTGCTTGTCCTCGAGGTCCCGGCTTCGCCGGAAGGCGACACCAGATGGCCCAGACCTCAGGTGTCGCGGCCTCCGCGCGACGCGTGCCGTGGAGCTTGTCGGCCACACCCTCCAGGGCTGGCCGTCGCGAGCAGGCATGCTTTTGGTGCAAACCTCCGGGCCCGAAACCCGTAACCGAGGCGCCCGGAATTAAACACACACACACACACACACACACACACACATATATTCCTCTTCCTATATTTTTGCAAGCCCGGGCGGGGGGAAAACCCATCACCCCCCCCCCTAAAAAAACCGGACTCCCGGGATCTGGGGCTTTGGGACCCTCCGGACGGGCCTCAAAGCGGCCCCCTGGGCCTCGCAGGGCATTTTGCCAAGCCTTCCCAGCACACCTAGGGCGATCAGGGGGATCATCGGAGACGTCCCCGAGACCCCCAAGACAGCACAAGAGCGCTCCAAGAGTGACCGACGTGACCTCAAGATGGCCCAAAAGGCCTCCAGGACGGCCCCAAAGAGGTCTCCAAGAGCACTTCCAAGAAGGCCCCAAGAGGCACAAACCTGTGTTTTTCTATTGGTTTTTGCTGATTTGGGGGGTTCTCCTCTTTTCGGCTTCCCGACGCTCCAAGGCGGCAGTCTTCTGGGCGTCCGAAGCCGCCTGGGGGGCTCCAACATCGCCACACAACCATCCGAAAGGGCTTCCAGGCAGTCCAAGAGAGCCCCAAAACGGCACAACACGGGTCCAAGATGGCCCTCAGAGAGCCCCATGGCGGCCCAAGATGGCCCCAAGACACCCTCCGAAGCAATCCAAATCGTGACCCGGTCGTTCAGGGAGACCGCGGTTGGAGGCAGGGTGGCCCGAGGAAGTCCCCAGAGGCCCCCAGAATACGCACAGGAGGCCTCCAGAAGGCCTTAAGAAAGCCTGAAACAACTTTTGTGAGGCCCCTCGAGGCTCTCCAAGGAGGAGCCTCCGCAAAAAAGAGCTGAGGAGGATGGGGAGAATGCGCAGGGTACGGCGAAAATAAGGAAAAAGAAGCATGGAGGAAGGATAACGAATAACATTATTATAGCGGCGATGCCGGAAAAGGTAACAAGGTGTTATCTCTAAAGTCGGCTTGACCTTCCTGCTATTCCGCCTCCATACCAAACTTCAAGGACCAAGGTGCATGGCGCGAAGCGCCACTGCAGTCTTGTGTGTATATATATATGTATATACATACACGCACACATATATATATATATATATATATATATATATATATATATATGCACACAAATCTACATCAATGTATAGCAATACATGCGTACAAGACTGCATTGGCGCTTCGCGCTGTGCACATTCGTCCATGAGGTCCGCCATGCAGACAAGAGGGCAGTAAGGTAAAAGGGAAGATGTAGCGATAACTCGTTTCTGCCTTCTCTAGCATCCGCCACCGTGCCTCTGGACACGGAGTGGGCGTGCCATCAACTCCATTGCCTAATCCCTGGAGCCTCAATCCTCGGTCCTGGGGGGTCCTGAGGGGCCCGCGCCCAAGATTTCAAAATGTGGCGGGGATTGGCGCGTGCCCCCCTGGCTCCCCCGCATCTTGTCGTGTGAATTGTCCGGACCCGACAGGGCCACAAGTCGGGCCGAGAGGGCCCCAAGAGGGCCCCGAGTCGCGGAACGATCGCTCCAAGACGCCTAAGATGGCCTCAGGATGGCCCAAGAGGCCGCCAAGACGCGGAGATCAAAGATTTCCTGAAGGTGTTTGAATGATTTGAGCGTTTTCGCCTTTCCTTTTCTCCGACGCTCCCAGACGGCCCAAGAGGCCTCCAAGACCACCCCAAGACGGCCAAAGAGGCCCCCTGAGAGGGCCCCAAAACGGCCTAAGATCGCCCCAAGACGGCCCAAGAGGGCCCCAAGACAGCCCAGAAGGCCCCAAGACGGCCCCCAAAGGGGCCCAAGAGAAGGAATACGAACCGAAAATCCAAGCCTTCCGCCCCAAAAGGCCCCCAGGAGGCCTTCAGAGGCGCCCAAGAGGCCCTCCAAAATGTACCCAACAGGCCCCGAACAGGACCAACAAGAGGCCCCAAAACGGCCCCGAAGAGACCTCACACCTGCCTTCAAGAGGCCCCCGAGAGGCTTCCCACAAGATCCCAACGAACATCCAATAGGCTTCGTACCCACAACCCAGATACGGTGGCGGGATGGGCCGAAGGCCATCCTATACATACATTAGAAACACGCACGCGTCGCGCGCTTAGGGTCTAGCGCAAGCCAACTGAGCTTACCGGACTGGGTGAGGATGGACATCAGCCCGCAAGGATCATCTTGGAGCATACTGTAAGAATGTAAAACGAAGATGTGAAACGGGAGCGGAAAACAATCAAGAACAAACATTATCCTGCGACGTACCCGACCCACGTGCATCAAATGGCAATAGGAGCATGCCAACATTAGCAGGAACAACGACAGTGTAGACGCGGCGATTTGCTGTGCAAGCTACATGGGATGCGCATGCGTTGCACGATTCACAGGACGACGATCGAAAGAACGAGGCTTGAGGCCCCAGGATCGAAGAAGAACGGGTACGGGAACGAGGGGTAGGAGAGGGATGGAATGGAGGGCGGGGGGGGCGAAAGGCCATCGCGGAAGCAGCAGCATGCATGGAGAAGGTGAGGCGGGGAATAGGACGACGATGAAAGTGGCGGGAGGAGACAGAAGACTGCCGCGTTTTTCAAGTGCGAGCTAAACCCGCAGCGCTGCCTGCGCCATGTCGTCGCAGAGTTCCACATGATAAAACTTGTTTAGAGTGCAAGGAACGAGCGAGGCGTAGCTCGCCCGCTAGCTTTTCCGCCTCCTTCCCGCACATTTCAGCGCGGGAGCTGAACGCTCGCAGGCGCGCCGCCAGGTCTGCGGGCGGCCCGCGGGAAAGAAACTCAAGGCCGGGGTCGCGTATCATCAATCGGTTGTCCATCGTCCAAAGTTGCACTGGCGACGTACTGGTTGAACGCGGAGCGAGCAGCATCACGCGCGTGCCTGAACGCCACGCAGGTACAGTGCACGCGCGATTGGGACTTCAGGTCGATCACGCGCGTCTCCACCAGGCTTGGCAACACCACGCGACTGAGGATCTCACTGCGGTCTGCCATGCTGCTGTCCGCGAATGCAATGCGCTGCCTGCAAGTAAGGCGGCGGCGTCCACTTGTCTCAGAAGATGTTCCCGCGGGCCCGAAGGGCGACCGCCAGCTCGAGCCGCGGCGCCGGCAGGCCAGATAAGGATCATGCAACAGCAAAGACGATGACAGAGCAACGAGGTATCGGCGAGTGCATGACCGGCCTCCGTTTCCTGCACTTCTTTCCTGTAGTTCCCCTAGCTCATCGAGCTCAGCAGATGTTTCTGCGGGTCCGAAGGACGACCGCCAGCTCGAGTCGCAGCGCCACGTGGCACGAACCGCAGAGCAAGGGCACGCGAGCATTGCTCGCGGTCAGAATCTGAGTCCCCGTGGTGCCTCACTCCGCTGGCCACCCACCAGCAGCCCTCGAAAGTGGCGACAGTTTCACAGATCGCAGCCGCCCAGGGGTGGCGAGGTCTAATCTGAGTCCCCGTGGTGCCTCACTCCGCTGGACCCACCAGCAGCCTCGAAAGTGGCGACAGTTTCACACAGGGATGGCGAGGTCTAATCTGAGTCCCCGTGGTGCCTCACTCCGCTGGACCCACCAGCAGCCCTCGAAAGTGGCGACAGTTTCACAGATCGCAGCCCCCCAGAGATGGCGAGGTCTAATCTGAATCCCCGTGGTGCCTCACTCCGCTGGACCCACCAGCAGCCCTCGAAAGTGGCGACAGTTTCACAGATCGCAGCCCCCCAGAGATGGCGAGGTCTAATCTGAGTCCCCGTGGTGCCTCACTCCGCTGGACCCACCAGCAGCCCTCGAAAGTGGTGACAGTTTCACAGATCGCAGCCCCCCCCCAGAGATGGCGAGGTCTAATCTGAGTCCCCGTGGTGCCTCACTCCGCTGGACCCACCAGCAGCCCTCGAAAGTGGCGACAGTTTCACAGATCGCAGCCCCCCCCCAGGGATGGCGAGGTCTAATCTGAGTCCCCGTGGTGCCTCACTCCGCTGGACCCACCAGCAGCCCTCGAAAGTGGTGACAGTTCCGCAGATCGCAGCCCGCCAGGGATGACGTGAAAGGCAAGAGAAGAGAAGAGGAGGAGCGAAGAGAGGAGGAGAAGGCAAGCAAGAGAGGAGAGGAGGAGGGAGGAGAGGGGGGGGCGGGAGGAGGAGAACGGAGACCGCAGTGCTCTATTCAAAACGAGTACCCAACGCAGGAGGGTTGGGAAATTACCCTGCGACGTACCCAACCCATGTGCATCAAGTGGCAAGAGGAGTAGGCCAACATTGGCAGGAACAACGACAATGTAGACACGGTGATTTGTTGCGCTATCTACATGGGACGCGCATGCGTTGCACGACTCACAGGACGACGATCGAAAGAACGAGGATCCAGGCCCCAGGCTCGAAGAAGAACGGGGACGGGAACGAGGGGCAGGAGGAGGATGGAATGGGGGGGCGAAAGGCCATCGCGACAGCAGCAGCATGCATGGAGCAGGTGAAGCGGGGAATAGGACGACAATGAAGGTGGCGGGAGGAGACAGAAAAGCGCAGCGTTTTCAGGTACACGCTAAACACTGAGCGCTGCCTGCGCCATGTCGTCGCAGCGTTCCGAAGGCTCAAACCTGCTTATAGTAAGTGCAAGAAGCGAGCGAGACTCAGCTCGCCCGCTAGCTTCTCCGCCTCACCCCTGCACATTTAGTGCGGGAGCTGAACGTTCGCAGGCGCGCCGCCAGGTCTGCGGGCGGCCCGCGGGAAATGACACATTTTCACAGATCGCAGCCCTCCAGGGATGGCGAAGTCTAATCTGAATCCCCATATGACGTCACTCGCTGGCCACCCCAGCACCCCTCGAAAGTGGCGACAGGCTCGCAGATCGCAGCCCCCCAGAGATGGCGAGGTCTAATCTGAATCCCCGTGGGGTGTCACTCCGCTGGCCACCCCAGCAGCCCTCGAAAGTGGCGACAGTTTCACAGATCGCAGCCCCCCAGGGATGGCGAGGTCAAATCTGAATCCCCGTAGGGCGTCACTCCGCTGGCCACCCCAGCAGCCCTCGAAAGTGGCGACAGTTTTACAGATCGCAGCCCCCCAGGGATGGCGAGGTCTAATCTGAGTCCCCGTGGTGCCTCACTCCGCTGGACCCACCAGCAGCCCTCGAAAGTGGCGACAGTTTCACAGATCGCAGCCCCCCCCAGGGATGGCGAGGTCTAATCTGAGTCCCCGTGGTGCCTCACTCCGCTGGACCCACCAGCAGCCCTCGAAAGTGGCGACAGTTTCACAGATCGCAGCCCCCCAGAGATGGCGAGGTCTAATCTGAGTCCCCGAGGTGCCTCACTCCGCTGGACCCACCAGCAGCCCTCGAAAGTGGCGACAGTTTCACAGATCGCAGCCCCCCAGAGATGGCAAGGTCTAATCTGAGTCCCCGTGGTGCCTCACTCCGCTGGACCCACCAGCAGCCCTCGAAAGTGGTGACAGTTTCACAGATCGCAGCCCCCCCCCCCCCAGGGATGGCGAGGTCTAATCTGAATCCCCGTGGTGCCTCACTCCGCTGGACCCACAAGCAGCCCTCGAAAGTGGCGACAGTTTCACAGATCGCAGCCCCCCCCCCAGGGATGGCAAGGTCTAATCTGAATCCCCGTGGTGCCTCACTCCGCTGGACCCACCAGCAGCCCTCGAAAGTGGTGACAGTTCCGCAGATCGCAGCCCCCCAGAGATGACGTAAAAGGCAAGAGAAGAGAAGAGAGGAGGAGAAGGCAAGCAAGAGAGGAGAGGAGGAGGGAAGAGAGGGGGGGGCGGGAAGGAAGGAAGGTGGAGACCGCAGTGCTCTATTCAAAACGAATACCCAACGCAGGAGGGTTGGGAAAAGAACAACAAGAACGGACAGCGAGGGATGGGCGAAACGGAAACACATCCTGGGGCACGCCAAAGCCTGGGACAGGAGGGAACGGAGGGGAATGAGCGAACTTGAAAAGTGGTTTGAGGCAATTCCCCTTTTCTCGAAGTTGCCCCTGGAGGCCCCCAGAGACACCCAAGATCGACCAAAGAGGCCTCCAACAGTCCCCCAAGAGCTCTTGGGAAGCTCTCGAGAGGCCAGCATTGCAGCAACCAAGGAAACTTACGATGTTTGCGCTCTCGCATTTCCGCCTTCGGCACGCTTCCGAGGCTTGCGCATGCAAGAGAGCTCCAAGATGCCCCCAACGGGGCATCTTAGAGCTTCCCTGGAGGGGCCTCTTGGGAGCTCTTGAGGGCCGCTCGAGGCCCTTTTCGGCGCTGGATGCCTACAGGGCGGCTCCTGGGAGCTCGCTGGGGCCTGCTCGGGGCGTCTTTGGTGGTGCCCCATTCGGGCGTCATGGGAGCCTCCTGTGGCCTCTCGGGAACACTTTACGTCGCTCGGGACGCCTCTTAGGGGGGGCCTCTTGGAGCTCTCCTGGGGGATTTGCGCAAACCTTGGAATCGTGTCGAAAACGGAAGCGCGAGGAAACGGGAAACCATTGATTTGTTCGATGGGTGTTTCAATGATTTTGGCATCTCGAGGGCGTCCTGGGAGCTCTTGGGGGACTCTTGGAAGCCTGTTGGGGCGATCTTGACTACTCTTGGGGGCTTCCACAGCCGTCGGGGGGCCGGCTTGGACAGCCTTGGAGCCCTCTTGGGCTATCTCGTGGTCGCCCGGGGCCGTCTTCAGGCGCTCCCGAAGCTCTCTTGGGGCGCCCATGAGGGTGGTATTGGGAATTTGCCTGGAAGGGTAGCGGAGTGGGCGGGGCCTCAGGGGAAGGGGCGCTAACACCTATGTGTGTATATATAGAGAGAGAGAGAGTTCTGTGTACGTACGTACGTATGTCCGTCTGGGTGTCTGTCTGTCTGTCTGGTTGTCTGTCTGTGTGTATGTAAGTCTGTATGTCTGTATATATGTCGGTACATCTGTGTGCATGCATGTATGCATGCATGTATGCATGTATGTCTGTCTGTATGTATGTATGTCGGTGTTTGTATGTGTGTACGCATGTATGTGTGTATATGCATGCGTATGCTTGTATGTATATATGTAGTTATGCGTGTACGTATATATGTATGTATGCATGTATGTATGCATGCATGTATGTACACATGTATGTATGATTTCATGCGTGTGTATATGGACGCGTGTATGTATGTATGGCTATAACTATGTGTGTACGTATGTATGCATGTATGTATGTATGTAGGTATGAATGTATGGATGTATGTATGTATGTATATATGTATGTATGTATGCATGTATACATGTATGCATGTATGCATGTATGTATTATGCAGGTCTGTATTTTTATGTGTGTATACGAGGAACAGGCAGCTACGTATATGTATAGCTGCGTGTGGCAAATCTGTCGGCGAGGGTGTCGAAGCGATCGGCCTCTCGGGGGCGTCTTGGGGGCGTATTGAGGGCCTCTTGTGGCCTCGTGGGGGCAGCTTTGGGGTGCCTGGGAGCGTTTGGGGGCCTCTTGGGAGCATCTGGGCCTTTTGGGAGCCTCTTGGGAAATCTCTCTGGGGCCTCCTGGGAGCCCTTTGGGGCGTATTGCGGGTCTCTTTGTGTCCTCTTACGGACCTATTGGGGCCTCTTCTGGGATGACTGCGGGGGGTTCTAAATGGAAAGGGGGGTTACAAGTGGATGCGAAGGTGGGTTATATCTGGCCCACCCTGGCCTATAAGTGGGCGGATAACTTTCCCAAGTAGCTTAGGGGGCGTAACGATGCGGACGAAGTGGGCTCCGCCCACTTAGTGGAGCAAACCAACCCCCCATTAAGCCACTCGGGGAATGTGTAATCCACTCGTAAGCCAGGTTGGGCCAGATATAAGCCACCTTAGCATCCACTCGTAACCCCCTTTCCACTTAGAAGCCCCCACGGTCATCCCACTTGGGGCCCCTGGGTGCCTCTTGGAATCGCTGGGAGCGCCTCCCCGGGGCAGCGTGGGGGCCTCTTCGGCCTCATGTTGAAGCACTGGACGCGTGTCGGGCGTAAAAAAGGGGAAAGCCAAACTCATTGATTTCCCCTTGGGTTTTGTTGATGATGTTGGCCTCTGGAGGGCCACCTCGGGGGGGCTCTTGTAGCCCTCTCGGGACGCCTTCGGGGCCTCTGGGCGTTTCTAATTAAGACAATCCTGACGAGTCTTGGGGCGCTCTTGGGGCCATCTTGGGGCGTCTTGGAGCCCCTCTTGGGCAGCCTGGAGGCCATCCTCATCCTGCGCGCTCTTGGAGTTCTCTCGCACGCTCTCGGCCTTGGATCTCCCATTTCTCTGTGCGTGTGTGCGTGTGTGTGTGTGTGTGTGTGTGTGTGCGTGCGTGCGTGCGTGCGTGCGTGTGTGTGTGTGTGTGTGTGTGTGTGTGTGTGTGTGTGTGTGTGTGTGCGTGTGCGTGTGCGTGTGCGTGTGCGTGCGTGCGTGCGTAAGTGCGCGTGCGTGCGTGCCTGGGTGCGTGTGTGAGTGTGAGTGTGAGTGTGAGTGTGTGTGTGTGTGCGTGTGTGCGTGTGTGCATGGGTGCGTGGGTGCGTGGGTGCGTGGTGTGTGTGTGTGTGTGTGTGTGTGGTGTGCGTGCGTGCGTGTGTGTGTGTTTTGTGTGTGTGTGTGCGTGTGCGTGTGTGCGTGTGTGTGTGTGTGTGTGCGTGTGTGCGTGTGTGTGTGTGTGTGCGTGTGTGTGCGTGTGTGTGTGTGTATGTGCGCGCCAAAACGCGACTTCGCGTCGCGATGCCTGGAGGTCTGGGGAGGAGGACGATCCACACAAGTTGACGAGCTGCCAGGTCCGCTCCGCCCTGTCGTCCTCCCGCTCAGCGTCCTCCTCCATGGCTCGACGAGCAACGCAGCCTTGGGCCTGCGCCTTCAGGCGCAGATGCCCACGAAAGGTGGAAGAGCGAGGGGAGGAGGGGGAGGAGCCGGGTGGGGGAGATGGGGAAGGGGGGATCGGATAAGCAGGAAGACGAGAAGGGAGAGGGATGAGGAGAGAGAGGAAGAAGAGCAGCAACACCAAAAGGCTCAGCAGCAGGCACGGGAGGGTAAAGGAAGAGGAAGAGAAAGTGGGGAAAAGGACATTGCTGGATCGTGTGGGCTCGGTCTCCAGCGCAGTGCGCAGCCGCAGCAGCAGCAGCAGCAGTAGCAGCAGCAGCAGGAAAGGCCCCAAGAGAACAAGGAGACAGAGGAGAAGGAGGAGGAGCAGGAACCAAGGTAGGAGGGAGAGGGAGAGGGAGGGAGGAAGGGGAGGAGGACAGGAGCGGGAGGAAAGCGAGGACATGAACCCCTACCACGTTCGCATCGTCCCGTTTCATCCTCCTCCTCTTCGTGATCATCATCCTCACCGCCTTGGTAATCGTGAAACTCCCGCCCGCTTCGCTCTTTCTGCCGCTGCTCCGCCCCGTTCAGCCTGTGAGGCGATTGCGCATCGGTATGCTGCTCCTGATCATCCGCTCAGAGCTTCCCACCTGCTCCCCCTCCTCCCCGTATGCCGTTCGTTTCCCCCCTCCTCCCTCTCCCCCCCTCCCTCCTCCCAATCCCCCCTACCTCCTGCTCATCGTGTTCCTTCTGTTCCTCCTCCTCCTCCTCCTCCTCCTCCTCCACCATGTCATCCTCCTCGTCTTCTTTGCTCCTTGTTTCTCCTCCTCATCCTCGTCTGTTCGTCGTCCTCCTTCTCTTCCACTTCCTCCTCCCCTTCCTCCTCCTCCTCTTCGTCTGCCTTCTCATACACCTGTCCCCACCTCCCCCCCCCCTTACACCTTGGCCCTCCATCATCCATAACATGACCTTCCTGGACTGCTTTCCCGTCGAGTCGACCTCTTCAGCACCCACCTTTCCTTTTTTCTCCATTGCCCGCTTCTCCCATCCTCGGACCCCCCCCTTTCCCTCCTGATCACCGTCTGCATGCTCGTTACTATACTCATCCTCCTCTTCTTCCTTCTCGTACTCCTCATCGTCCTCCTAGTCTCCGATTACCAATTTAACATTGGGAGTTCATCGCTGCCGTTGCTGGATAATGTGGCACTGCGGGCCCACTGCCAAATCGGCAGGTTGAGGGACGGATGCCTACCTGTCGCCGATTGCTAATGTGACAAGCACGGCCCAGTGCCATACAGGAGAAGCTCGCTGAGCACCCTTCGCGGCGTTTCCCCTTCGCCCCCTGCCAAAAGGGTAGGGAGAGAGACAGCCTCGCACGCCAGTGACACCAGGGGCTCGTCCTTCTCCTGCTCCTCCCTCATCTCCCTGCCCCTCCCACTTCCACCGTGGACGAGCGCGGGACCCAGTGCGATATCTGCGCAGATCGCCGCGAGGGCACCGCGGGCTGCGGCGGCCCCAGCGGAGATGGAGGACGAGCCGCACCAAGGGCGCCATCCGGTGCCATGGCGCAAACGCCCCTCCCCGCGCAACCCTTCCGCAACCCAGACAGGCAACGTCCCGAACAAAATCAAGTCCGAGGTTCTCCATTGTTTTCGGCCTCCGCAGGCCCTCACCAGTGTGCGGCGCGCACAAGGGGGTAGGAGGAGGGGGGCAGGCTTCTTAGAAGGAGGCTGCTTCTTAGAAGGCGCCGGCTCTGCATCTACAGGTAAGGCCCGCACCTTCTCAGAAGCAGGGGTGCTTCTAAGAAGCTCTCCCCCCTCCCTCCATCCACCCCCCTCTGCGCGCGGCTGACCTGGGACCGTCAACGAACGACTCAGGATGAAAAGCTCGGGTCGGGCGAAAGGGGGGTTTGAGAATCAGCTCACGTAGCTGATTTTCCCGGCGCCTCCCGGCGCCGGAGGCGGCTATGTATCGAGGAATGGGCCCCTCGGTGGGGCCGAAACCAGCTGCATGCAGCAAAGTTCGTATCCCCGCCTTTCCCAATCCCCCCCTTCCGTCCGGCCCGAAAAGCCAGCCTCAATGAAGGAGCGGCCGGGACTCCTGGGCTCAACCGCCCCGATGCGCAACACGTAACCCGTACCGTGCTGACACGGAGCCCAACACGTAGACCGACAGCGTGGGTCTGGCACGATGATGCGCTCGCCAGAAGCGCGGGCCAGCACGTGCCGAGCCAGCACGCAGTGCGTCAGCACGGACGCTCCGAGCACGGCGCGTGCTGCGCGTCAACACGGGCGCAGCAGGGCAGCGCAGCCTCTGGGGGGGCCCGTCTTGAGAAGCCCGAGGCGGAGAACATCCTGGGGGGGGTCGCCCCCTCGGCGCAGGGCTCCTCTGGGCACCCGGGCGCCCTCGCGGGCCCCCCTCGCGGCCCCCCCCCCCGGGGCCCTCAAGAAGGCGGCTCGGGGCCACGAAGGAAGCTGCGCACGACGGCGCTCGGCGACGCCGACGGCGGCGGCGCGGCCGTGACACCGCCACGCCCACGGCGGCGGCGCAGGGGCAGCGCGGCAGCCACGGCGACGGCGACGCAGGACCGCCGAGCGGGGCCACTGGCGAGAGGCCCGAAGGCCACGACGGCGGCGGCGACGGGGCGACCGCACGGCCACGGCGCCGACGGCGAGAGGCCCAGCGGCGGGCGGCCGGCCGTGGGGCGCGGCGCGGCGCCGGCCGCCCGCCGTCTGCCGCGCGGGCCCGGCCGCCGCCGCTCGCCGCCGAGCCGCCGCGGCCGAAGGCGCGGCCGAAGGGCAGCGGCCGCCCGAGGAGCCCGCCGAGGGGCCCGAGCGGGCCCGCCGAAGGGGCGAACGGCCGCAGGGCCCGAGGGGCCGGCCGAAGGGCCTGCCGCGGGCGGCAGCCGGCGGCAGCCGGCGGCAGCCGCAGGGACGCGGCGGGTCCTCTGTGCAGCGGCCCGCGGGCTCGCGGCCCGCGGGCTCGCCGCGCGGGGGCTCGCCGCGCGCGGCGGGCTGCGCGGCCGCGGGGCGCCCGCGGCGGGGACGTCGGGGGCGCCAGACTGCTGCAGGTAGCTGCGCGCCGTGCAGCCGTGGATGTCCTCCGCGGGCGGCGGCGGGCGGCGGGCGGCGGCGACGGGCGATGACGACGAAGACAACGACCCACAACGACGCCGACGCCGACGCCGACGCCGACGCCGACGCCGACGCCGACGCCGACGCCGACGCCGACGCCGACGCCGACGACGACGACGACGACGACGACGACGACGACGACGACGCTCGTCCCCAACAACGGGGTGGGTTGGGTGGTCACGTCACCCAGACATCTGGTATTTTCCCAGAAGTCCCGCCTCTTTCCCCAGGGCTGCTTTTTGGCCCGACGCGATTGGTGCTGCTCTGGAGCCCAGCCAGGAGGGGCCCCGGAGGTCGAAAACGGCCAAACTCCTTCCGTCCAGATGTTGCTCACAGCGCGAGCACGTCGTGGCACGGCCCACAAGCTCTGGTAACTTGCGCCATCGACACCTGCCCTGTGCACCGTCCTGCCGAAGCCTGGGCCTCGTCAGTTCGATGCGTGAGCATCCCCCTCGGGGCGATGCCAGGCATCACAAGGTCGATGCCTAGGTCTCACCAGACCGATGCCTACGCATTGCCAGGTGGATACGTAGGAATCGCTACGTCGATGCCTAGGCAAGACAAACCTTTTCTTCATCGGCATTGCCAGGTCTCTACCTTGGCTCACCAGATCCCCGCACCAATCAAAAACCATCGGATTCCAAACCCGAAAAAACACAACACGAAACGCCGTCTTCTTTCTGCTTCTGTTCCGCTGCCTCCTCCCCGAACCCCTACTCATGCTCTTCATGCCACACGTAATATTCCACCACATTATCTTCTCCACACTGGCCTTTTGCTTTTCTCCCACGCCGTTCTACTTAGAAGTAGCTTCGAGGCGATCTGCAGACTCCAAACGCGAAGCGTCTGCTGGAGGTCATTCGTCGCCAAAGGTCCCTCTGCAGCTGGCTAGCCGACTGGCCGACTGCAGACCAGCGACGCGCCATCGGCAAAACGATCGAACGCATATGATGATTTTCTTCGACATCATCAACATTTCCTCACATCCCCTCCTGTTCTTCCCCTCTGAATCCATCCCTGCTGCCCCCCTCTTCCGCACAGTTTCCTCTTTCTGTCCTAGATCTCATTATGGCTGGTTCTCATCATGCTGAACACGAAAACGTGAATATTTGCATGTAGCGAAAATGCTATTACCAATAAGTTCACGTATCACGGGTTCCCTCCCGTACCCTTGTCTGTGCGTATACTTCTCTTCCGTGCTCGCAGACGCCTGCGTCTCGCCTGCCAGGGGCCATATCTCCAGGGATCATCAATGATAAATCCTGGCCTGTCCGTACCTCTTGCCAAGGCGGCAGTGGGAATGCAAGGAAATGCGACAGCCAGAGCACCAATGTCCACGCAACCGACGCCAGCAACGTCCAAGCTTAGAAGCTTTGATCGCCCGCGTTGTCAGCAATGACCCTGCTAAGTTTTATCGCCCTGCCGAGCTGCCCTGCCTGCTTCGCCGTTAGGGGGGGGGGCCTTACTTAGTCAGAGACTGTGCGCGCCGTCTCTCTCTGAAGCTCTCGTCTCCGTCGTCGTCGTCCTCCCCCCCCACACACACCCCTTCCCATATCCCTCCATACCCCCTTGCTTCTCCTCCTCCTCCTCCTCCTCCTCCTCCTCCTCTTGACCACTACTCCCTCACCCCGTAGGCTGCTGGTGTTCGGGAGGAGGATGGAAGAGGTCCAACAGCCCACAGGACGCACACACATCATGAAGGCAAGCTCGTTAACCCTGGATCGTCTAACAAAACACTTCACAGGGTGGGTCGCGCTCGCACGCACGCCTTCAAAACGCCTTGCCAGACCTTGGGAACGGAGGAGAAGCGAAGGGGGGGTAGGAGGTGCAGGGGATGGAGGCGGGAAGAAACGGAGGTCAACGAAGTATCACTTGATGCATGCCTCGATGCCTGCCGAGGCATCGCGCGATGAATGCCAAGGCACCGTCACCGTTGTAAGCATGCCTAGGTAACCCTCGACGCATGCCCGTGCATCCCTCGATGGATACCTGGGCATGGCGAGATGCCTGCCTGGGCATCCCGCAGCCCCGCCGCGGCCGCCGCACCGCCGCCCTGACTTCGCCGCGTCGCTGCGGGCACAGTCGCGACGTCAACAAAAACGTGTGTGTGCGCGCGCGCGTGTGTGTGTGTGTGTAAGTGTGCGTGTGTGTGTGTGTGTTTGTGTGTGTGTGTGCGTGTGCGTGTGCGTGTGCGTGTGCGTGTGGGTGTGTGGGTGCGTGGGTGTGTGCGCGCGCGCGCGTGTGTGTGTGTGTGTGTGTGTGTGTGTGTGTGTGTGTGCGTGGGTGTGTGCGCGCGCGTGTGCGCGTGCATGTGTGCGTGTGTGCGTGTGCGCGTGCATGTGTGTTTGTGCGTGTGCGTGTGCGCGTGCATCTGTGTGTTTGTGCGAGTGCGTGTGCGCGTGCATGTGTGTTTGTGCGTTTGCGTGTGCGCGTGCGTGTGCGTGTGCGTGTGCGTGTGCGTGTGCGTGTGCGTGTGCGTGTGCGTGTGTGTGTGTGTGTGTGTGTGTGTGTGTGTGTGTGTGTGTGCGTGCGTGCGTGCGTGCGTGCGTGCGTGCGTGCGTGCGTGCGTGCGTGTGTGAGGGCGTGTGTGTAGGTGTGTGTGTGTGCGTGTTTAGGTGCGTGTGCGTGTGCGTGTGCGTGTAGGTGCGTGTGTGCGCGCGTGTGTGTGTGTGTGTGTGTGTGTGTGTGTGTGTGTGTGTGTGTGTGTGTGTGTGTGTAAAACGGATCGTGTTCGCACTCGCTGCGACACGCAGTGATTGAAATCGGGTGATGTATTAGCGTAGCCCGGGGCAATACGACCTGTGGCTGCCATCCCACTTCGGAATTGGAAGGAAAACGCGTGTCGTGTACACTTGCCTTGGTCATTTCCGTTTTGATGACGGCAGCGGCTCGACCCCGCTGGCTGCCGTCTGCATGCGTCGTCAGCCGCCTGCGATGCGGGCAATCTGTCCACGCATGTGCGCCTGGCCGCAACCTATGATGAGACACTTCTGCCACAAGAAACAACGATAAGAGAGAGGATGTCGGATATGGTTTGCCTGGGCGGCCCTCCAACTGTGGCCTGCCAATTGGGGCCCGACGTGTCCACCACGATCTTGCAATAATGCCTGGCAGGTGCTCCAGAGCTTCAGAGACTGATAGCGCGGCCTAGCGCGGCGACGTCTGCATATACCTGGTTAAGCCAAGAGATGCGTGACATGCGCAGCGCTGCCGTGCGCGGCATCACAAATGAGCAGCATCTCGAACGACGTTCAGAGCTGCAGAAATAGCGCAAAATGTTAGACCGCGCTGCAAACGGCACCGTAAAGCACGAGGCAGTACGGTGCAGAACGCTGCAGTGCAGCTCTGAACGGTGCAAGACTGCATGGCAGAAAGCTTGGCAATTTGAATGAGAGCCTAACGGTGCAACATCATACAAGTTCAGTGAGCAGTAAATTCACGCGAGAGAGATTGGAGCATCTACTCTTCGCACCGTGAACCGGCGAGGTCCACTTGGAGAAACCGCTAGCGGTGTGGGTGTACCTCGGCGCTCCTCCTCCTCCTCCTCCGCCTCCGCCTCCGCCTCCGCCTCCGCCTCCGCCTCCGCCTCCCCCTCCGCCTCCTCCTCCTCCTCCTCCTCCTCGTCCTCCTCCTCCTCCTCCTCCTCCTCCTCCTCCTCCTCCTCCTCCTCCTCCTCCTCCCCCTCCGGCCCAAACCCTCCTTCAGGTCCGAGAGCCTCTTGCTCGTGCACGCCACGAGCCAGGCGAAGACCTCGGAGAGCCCGTTCCGCCCCGCCAGGTGGAGGGCCGACTGCCCCTGGCGGCGCCGCGCCGCGGCGCGGGGGGGGCCTGCTCTCTCGTGCAGGGCCGAGGGACGCACGAGGACAGTTACTGGTACCGTGCGTCCACCTTGGAGGCGTGTGTCCGAGCCGAACATGTGGTGGAAGAAGCATCCTGCAGCGCATCGCGTCCCGAGCGGCATGGCCAGAGCGCGCCCGCCACGGCGCTTCCGCGCACTGCAAGCTATTCCTCGGCGCGCGCCCTCGGGGGTCTCCAGCTCTCGGGCAGGAGCATCAGCTCATGGCTCGACCCAGGCGCAGCTCCTCGTCGTCGGCCCCCAAGGCCCATCAGTGGTCGGGGGCGCGCACACATGGATTATTAGCGATCCATGGACTTGGCGTGCGGGCGGCAATTCTATGGATCGGGGGAGGTGCCCTCCCCAAAATGCGGCCGGCGCCGCCTCGCGGGACCCGTCGCCAATCCACCCCCCCTTAATCCATGTTTGAGGTCGCCTGAATTACAGTCAACCGTGCTAGTAAGGATGGGGCAACTGTCCAAGGCTACCCTTGCATCCTTGCCCCTTGGGTATTCGGCATCCTTCGGCACACTGCTGCGCTCCGCACGGACAACGTCAGCATGGCGTTCCGAGGCCCTTGCATCCTTAGCGCGCATCCTTACAATCCTGGTCGAGTGTGTAGGCCCCTGGTGAAACGGAGGCGGACGAGGAAGAGGCGGGGGCGGAGGCGGAGGCGGAGGAGGAGGGGGAGGAGGAGGAGGAGGAGGAGGAGGAGGAGGAGGAGGAGGAGGAGGCAGAGGCAGAGGCAGAGGCAGAGGAGGAGGAGGAGGAGGAGGAGGAGGAGGAGGAGCAAGCCTGTACCCCTATATGACAAGGCGGCGGGGCCTCTGCCCCGAGAGCGGCACCCTGCCCCCACCCGGGCCCACCTGCAGGAGGAGCCACATGGGGGGGGGCCCCTCCCTGGTGCTGGGTCGGGCACTGGAGGCGGATTCTGGCAGGAAACATCGCAAATAGCCAGTCAGAACAGACGCCCGAATAGCCCAAAAGGAATGTTCAAAAAAGGAATAAGTAGTCAGAACGTATTCCAAAATAGCCCACAAGTAATTTTCAAAAAATCGTCCCCAGACTATTTCTGACTATTCGTGAGCATTCCCCCTGTAGAGGGACATGCGCGACTTAACCCCTGTGGTGTGGTTCCCAGCCTCTCGCCCGAGGCATCCCCTCTCCCCAGAGGCCTCGTGGACCTCCTCACTGGAGGTGGGCACCCCTGCCGGTGGTGGTGGTGGTGTCGCTTCTCCTTCCCCCGACTCGGGGGGGGGGGGAGGGCGAAGTGTCGAGCTCGACTCGGCGACGACGACGCAGCAAGAAACAACTTCTGGGAGGTCTTCGTCAACACTCTCGAGCTCGATGGAAAGGGGTCACTGCGCCGGATGAGGCTCGCACATGTCCACGACTCGGCCGGATCAAGCGGGATGCAGCGGAACTGCGCGGGGTTGTGTCGGATTCGGCCCTCTGTTCCTGCTCCTCGACCACGGATACGCCGGCGCGCCGATGCTGAACGCAGCCTCCCAGGAGCTGCATCCTCAGATGCACGTCGCCGGCAGGTCGGCGACACAGGCCGCCGAGGCCGCGCTGCGCTGGAGGAGCGCCTCGCCTCGACGCGCTCCCGCCGGGGAGCGCCTCTCGCCCGAGGGGGGCGCCGCGGGCTCGCGGCGGCGCGATACGCACGTCGCGGGCAGATCGGCGACGCTGGGGCGCCGAGAGAGGAAGCCGCAGGCGACTCCCAGGCGGGGAGGGCCAAGAGGGGGAGTCCAAGAGGGGGGGGCGCAAATCATGGCCAGCGGCATGTGTGCGCGGGCCAGGGTGGCCAGGGACGCCACGAAATGAGAAGAGGCGCCGTGAAATATGAGGAAAGATCATGGCCCACGCCATGATGTCCACCCCCCCCCTAGTCATCACCCCCCTCTTGGCCGCCCTCGACCCAGGCGGGGAGGGCCATCATTTGGAGTCCCGAAGCGGTGCTGTGACAGGCCGTGCGGTGACCTCGGAATCCCCCAAGACTTCACCGCACGGTCCGTCACCGCACGGTCTTGGGACCCTGGAGGCTCCTGTCGCCCGAAACATCTTCGGAGAGGGACTCGAGTCAAAAAACCGTGAGGTGACCCCGAATTCCCACCGACTCACCACACGGTGTGGTCATCGCACCGTCTGGGGGCCTCCGACATTAGGCCTCCATGAGAACCTGGGAGATCTCGTTCGTCGACAAGATATCCACCCTCTCCCGGTCCTCACCTCCTCTCGGACGCCCCCAGACATCGACCTACGACGCCGTGATTCTTATCGCGACATGGGGCCCCGAGGCCTGCTGGGATGACCGTGGGGGGTCCTAAGTGGATAGGGGGGGTACAAGTGGATGCCAACGTGGGTTATATCTGGCCCAACCTGGCTTATAAGTGGGTTACAAGTGCCCTAAGTAGCTTAGGGGGGTTAACGATCTGGGCTAGGTGGGCTCCGCCCACTTAGCTGAGTTATCGACCCCTCCTAAGCTACTTAGGGCACTTGTAACCCACTTATAAGCCAGCTTGGGCCAGATATAACCCACCTTGGTATCCACTTGTAGCCCCCCTATCCACTTAGGACCCCCACGGTCATCCCAGTGGACCCGTTCCTCCTCCTCCTCCTCCTCTGCCCTCTGCTCCTCCTGCTCCTCCTCCTCCTCCTCCTCCTCCTCCTCCTCCTCCTCCTCCTCCTCCTCCTCCTCCTCTACATCATGAGCAGTGTTTGACGGCCCCCGGGGCCCATGAAGGGCCCCCATGGAAGAGCGAAAAAATTGCCAGGGGCGTGGCCGGGTGGCCGTCAGAGGGCGACCCGGCATGACGAGCTTGCCCCTGGGGTCCGGGGCCCGCTTCCATCCCCAGACCCCCTCGAGTCATGCAAAAATCACGACAGAAGATGTCTCATTATTTTCGGCCTCTTGCAAGCCCTCACCAAGTCTCGGGACCGTCAAAAAGCGACTCCTGACGAGAAACCGGTCCCGGGGAAGGGGTCGAGACCTCTGGGGGTGGACACAAGAATCATGACGTCGGGGGTCTGGGTCAAGGACCCTTGCCCTTCACGGCGGAAAGGGATGGGAACGAGGAGCAACGAGTCGAGGGACCACTCGTTTTGAAGTTGGGAGGCGTAGGGGGTCTTCATGGCGGAAAGGGATGGGAAAGAGGCGCATCGAGTCGAGGGGCCAGGCGTTCTCCCGCTCCGTCCGCCCCCATCCGGAGCCCGCCGCGACAGCGGCAGCGGCAGCGACCGAAATTCGGGCCGAGCAGGACGCCATAGATCAAACTCAAGCGTGGACATGGATCCACGCTGGCACGAAAGAGGCAGACAGAGAGAGAGGGAGAGCGAGCGAGCGAGAGACCCTGCACTCCTTTCCCCGATCTCCGATGCACTGTCCTTTCATTCCGGGATGCCCGCAAGTCCCGACCCTCTCCCCAGGGCCGGCTTCTCGTCCCGAATCGTTCTCGTTGCGGTCCCGGGGACAAGCGAGGGTCCCTGGAGGCCGAAGGCGGCAACAGACACATGTGCGGCGTCCATTTTGTCGCGACGCGGGCATTCCTGGGCCTTCTCCTCGGGGACGGCGCAGGAAGAGAGGCGCGCTCCTTGCGATTGAGGACCCCCGGGTCCGACCGCTTCTCCACCAGCATCTTGCAGATCTCCTTTGGGAATCGCGCGTGTGTGCACTAGGCTATCTGGCTGGTTCTCCGGGCGACACTTGAAACAAATACGCATTGCGTTTGGGCCGCCATTTGCCACGGATTTGTGCATAGATAGAATATAACATGATACAGTGGGTTTCATCCTGGCCTCGATCCTTCGTGGGCGCGAAGAACAGCGGAGTCTGTCCGTGCCGGTCGCAGCTGTCCACGCTGGCTCTGGCCACCAGCAATACCTTGCACATCTCCAGGTTGCCGTCGAAAGTCGCCAAGTGCAGCGGGGTCACCTCGGCCAACCGCGAGACCCGGACCCCTTCGGGTCATGAAACAATCACGACGGGAGATTTTGCCAATCGTCGGCCTCTGAGGGCCCTCGCTGGCCCCCGAGACCGTCAGAGACGAACTGGGGATGAGAAACCGGTCCCCGGGAATGGGTCGAGACCTCCAGGGGTCGACGATGCGAACAAAAACACGACGTCGGGCGTCGGGCGTTTTGGGGAGTGACCCAGCCAAGGATGACCTCCGGGGCCCGGCCTTCGCTGGCCGCGGAGCGGAACAGGCCCAGCCTCGCAGTCCAGCGCTGGGGCAGGATCCGCCAGCATCGAATCGACACATCGGGTCGAATCGACATCTGAGTCGGATCCTTCTCCTCCTCCTCCTCCTCCTCCTCCTCCTCCTCCTCCTCCTCCTCCCCTTCCTCCTCCTCCTCCTCTGGCTGCATCGGCACGGCGTCGAGGTCGAATCGGGTCGGCTGCGCCGGGATGCACCGCAGCGCCGTGCGAGCATCGGAAGGCATCGGATCGTCGGAGTACCAAAGTGAGGACGGGCACGTCCTCCCACAGGATTTTGGAGGAACATAAAAAGTAGTCACAAGATTCTGTCAAATAGTCAAAAAATCGTCCCCAGACTATCCTGACTATTTTCGAGTATTCCTGTAGAGGGACATGCCCTACTTCATACCAGAGTCGAGCGAATCGAATCGAATCGAATCGATCGGATCGGATCGGATGGACCCTGCGCAGTCGAAATCGAATCGGATCGATCGGATCGGATGGACCCTGCGGGGGGGGGGGGGGGGGGGCCCGCAGCAACAGGGATCTCCAGAGGAGGGCCACTTCTTAGGCGTAGCCCATCACCTCCTTATCGTCGCCGACGCTCGGGTTGGCCCGGGCCCTCAGCATCACCCGCGCGACGTCGGTCCGGCCCTTCTTCACCTAGAAGCAGGAAACAGGAGCGACGAACAAGAACGGGCCGAGGCCAGATAGCATAGCGACCTCACGCGGTGGCTTGCGCGGGCCGCCAACGCGGCACGCTACATGTGAAACGAGGGCGCCTACCCTAAACCCCCGACATCAAGATTTCTCCATGACGTCGACCCCCAGATTGCCTCGACTCCATCTCTCGGGACCGGTTTCTCACCCTGAATCGTTTTGCGAAGGGCCCGAGGCCTGGCGAGGGCCCCCAGAGGCCGAAAGCAGCGAAGAACCTTCCCGCCCCGACCTTGTCGTGGCTCGAGGGGGTCTGGCACGCGCGACGCTGCGAAGGGAGGCGCACGGCGCGGCGCTGCGGCGCGGGCGGCCCCGATGCCTCTCGTCGCTCCCGCGAGCAACCAGCAGCGTAATGCGGGGTGACGATGGATAAAAAATGGGAGAGAATGAAAAAAAAACAGTTTTCTGCGATGTCTGCATAATCTTCTGACTGGAGGAGAACGATCAAAAAAACAGTTTTCCAGCCCGCGGCCGGTTTTTTCTAATCGCCATCCCGGGCGCCGCCGCGTGAGCACGACCCCCGGTCATTTGTCAATCGTCATCCTCCACTACGCCTTCGACGGTCCGCGCGGCGGATCTTCCCCGGATCGGCGGGGGGACCCTCCTGGCAACACGCCTCTGGCCATCGCTCGGACGTCCATTCCCTGTGCTTTTTTTTTTTTTTGGTTTCGTGCGTGGTTTTTTCCGCGAAATGATCAAGGATGCTCCTCGATGGTCCTCGCCGAAGGGAAAATGCACACGTCCGAGCGATGCCAAGGCCTCCGCCCCCGCTCTCCGCGGCGCGCCGCCCAGCGCGCCCCGGAGAGCTGGGGGCGCGTGGGCGGGCCCAGGCGCCGACCCCAGAGAGAGCCGCGCGCGCCTGCGAGCAATGGAAGCGTGCACGACTGCGCCGGCTCTGGGCCGCCCTACGCCTGGGGGCCCCCAAAACCGGCAAAGGGGCCCCAGGACACACAAATAAACACACACACAAATAAAAAGATGCCCCCTATTTTCCCATATTCTCTGGGTTTTTGCCTCCCCCCCCCACTTCCCATATTTTCGCATATGTTCCTGGGGATCGACGATTAATTGTGTCTACGTGTTTTTTCCCCTCCTGAACCGTGCTTGCCCTTCAGGGCTTGTCCTCGGGAGCGGCCAAGAGGGGGGGGGCGTCCAAGAGGGGGGGTGCAAATCCTGGCCGGCGGCATGTGCGCGGCCCAGGGGGGGGGGCCAGGGGCGTCATAAAACAAGCAGAGGCGCCCCATGACATCTGGGGACATATCATGGCCCACGCCATGAGATCCCCCCCCCCTAGTCATCCCCCCCCCTCTTTTGCCGCCCCCGATGCTCTTGCCTCGCCTCTGCGGAGCCCGGGCCCGCGTCGGCGGCCCCTGGCGGCTCCGTGCCCGCCCGTCCCTGCACCACCTCTTCGAATCACAGGCCCCGTCTGCGGGCCCGGAGGCGCGGTCCCGCCCGTCGCCGCCGCCCCAACTGCACCCCCCCCCGTTGTATTGCCATCGCACTGCGTTGCCGTCGCACTCCACGCCATTGCAGCGGCATGGCATCGCGTCGCAGTGCTCTGCATAATTACTGCTTTGAGATCGCACTGCGAGGCATGCCGGTCACACTGCATCACACATTGTTTTGCCGTGCGTTGCATCGTTGCGCATTGCTCTGCGCTGCTTTGTATTGCTTTGCACACCGCATGAGTTTGCATTTCCATGCGTTAGCTAAATTGCATACATTGCAGGAACCTGGTGTTTGGGGTCCACGATGGCTAACATTCTTTGCACACGGGGTGTCTGGATATCCCGACCGTTTCCCCAGGGCCGTTTCCCATCCCAACTGGCTTGGTTGCCGGTCTTTGATCCTTTAGTGAGTGTTCCAGAAGATCGAAAACGGCCAAAAACCGTTCGTGGCCCATCTTGATTTCACGGGGAGAAGGTGGAGGAGGAGGAGGAGGAGGAGCAGGAGAAAGGCGAGCAGGAGGAGGAGGAGGAGGAGGAGGAGGAGGAGTTCGACGAGGACGAGGAGGGTGAGAAGGTGAGGACGAGAATGACGAGGAGGAGGATGATCCCATGCGCGAACATGTCTGGGTAATTACTCTGTGGGGACAAAGGGGGGAATGATAGCTACTCCGCGGACCTCTCCCGGAGCGCTCTGACCAGGATCTCGAGGCGAATTCAGCGGTGGCGGCGAGGGCCTCCCAGGAGGCCCAGGAAGGCGAAGACGAAGGCAGGGCAGCGATGTGGGTATCTTCTCCTCCTCTGAGATGACTCCCAGTATCAAGTGCTCGAGACTTTTTGTATACCGCATCGATCCCGCCTGAAGCAGATCACACCGCGTGGGGCCACGCTTGGTATACAAAGCGAGGCCCCAGGGAGGACACTTTGTGTATCCAGGGGGGGGGAAGGGGGGGGGCCTGGCGAAAGGAAACGCGCTCGAGCGCCAAAGGAACAACCCCGCTGCAGAAGAGCGCAGCCGCTGCAAGGCCAAGGCCGAGGCCACGTGCATCCTCGAGTCCAGGATGCCGCAAGTCGGCAGCCGCGCCCCGCGCCAGATCCCAACGGGGAGGAAGGCGTCGGCTTTGGCGCTGGGCTCGCAGCTGCTGCCCCGAAGGGTTCGAGCGACAAGGAAATGTAGCAAGCATGCAAGCCGACGACATGGGCAGGTCATATAAACGAGGGGGATGATCAAACAAAAAACAAAGAAGACCAGAAAACAAGGATCCAGCCGAGCCGCTCTCCGCATGGCCCTGGGGGGCCTGGACGTCGCAGCGGGCCCCCAAGTGCTGGAACAACGCCCGGGCAGGCAAGTGCCCGAACCGAAATACCCCCCCCCCTCCTCCTCCTCCTCTCCCTCCCCCCTCCTCCCCCTCCCCCTCCTCCCCCTCCCCCTCCTCCTCCTCCTCCTCCTCCGAAAGGCGCAGCAGGGGCACCTATACCCATGCAGAGCCACGGCGGGGGATGGCGACGTCCGGGCCCGCTCTGGCCTCTCCCTGGCCCTGCGCGGGGACGCGGAGGGGAGGCGAGCCGAGGGCAACCTGACGGCTGCCCCCCCCCCCCCAGAGCTCGGGAGCGGCCAAGAGGGGGGCGTCCAAGAGGGGGGGGTGCAAATCATGGCCGGCGGCATGTGCGCGGCCCAGCGGAGGGGCCAGGGACGTAATGAAACAAGAAGAGGCGCCATGAAATCTGGGGAGGTATCATGGCCCACGCCATGATATCCACCCCCCTAGTCATCACCCCCCTCTGTTCCGCCCCCGAAGAGCAAAGCACGATGGGAAACCCCAGGGAGACTTGCGCATCAGCTTTGGGACACTTCCACCTCGCACTCTCCAACGGATTACCAGCGCGGAGCGCCCAACTGAAGGCCCCCCGGAGGCCCCCCGAGGGGAACAACCTCTGGCTGATCTCCCCCCTGCTTCCCCCTCCTTTCCCCTGACCGGCGTCCGCCTCGCATCGCGCGGGCCCCGCGAGATGCGAGACGGCCGAGCGCGGCGGGAGGCGCGTTCGACCGCCAGTCTGCCTTCGGACACGTGTCCCCTGCAGCCGGCGCGAACGAGGTCGTCTCGCCAATCAGGCTGATTTTGTAAGAACGCCTCGAATAACCGCCAGGGTCCCAAGTTAGAGCTCGAGTTCTCTTGTCGGCTAACACTTCCTTTATCTTAGACCTGGGGAAATTCACCATTGCAGAAATACTCCTTTGCTGCAGATTGAGCACCATCACGCAGCTGCAATAGATGTGTTAATGACGGCCCGTGCGTTGATGAGGGCATATGACATGCAGCGCATGCCGATGGCAATGCTGGCGATATCTGCCGAAGCAGCGTTCTGACAATGAAACGGGCGCTTAGAATCTAAAACCCCTGCCAAGGGGCGACGCGGGGACTCCCCTAGCATCACCTCCCCCAGGCACACCACTACACGCGTCCCCCAAGAGGAGCCAAAAGACCCCAAACCCACGACCAGGACCCTCGCCCAACCCAAGGGCACTTCCGGCACATTACGTGTTACACGTATAGATTCGGCGGATCCGCTGACCACGGCGTTCAGGGGCGGCCCCGGGCAGTCCCAGGTGTCCAGGGGCACGGCTGGATTCTTCAGCACCTGGTACAGCGCGCGGAGCCTCCGCCGCTGCTCGCTCTCGCTGCCGGAGCTGTCCAGCGCCCCCTCCAGCGCCTCGCCGGCGGCGCGGAGGGGCCAGTGTTCCAGCACCACTGCCACAGCTAGGACGGGGGAAGGCTTAGCTGCCCCGATACGCAACGCGCAACACGTGGCGTATTGGTACGTGGCTCAGCACGTAGACTGAAAACGCGGGAACAAACGCTGAGCCAACAGGCAGCGTATTGACACGTGAAGCACGGCACGTGTTGCGTTTCAAAAATGCGCATCGAGTAAGCCAACCTTCTCCTCCCCGTCCTCGCCATTCCCCTCCTCCTCCTCCTCCTCCTCCTCCTCCTCCTCCTCCTTCTCCTCCTCCTCCTCCTCCTCCTCCTCCTCCTCCTCCTCCTCCCTTCCTCCTTCTCCTCCTCCTCCTCCCCCTCCTCCTCCTCCTCCTCCTCCTCCCCCTCCTTCCCTTCCCTCTCCTCCTCCTCCCTCCTCCTTCCTCCTCCCTTCCTCCTCCTCCTCCTCCTCCTCCTCCTTCTCCTCCGCCCTCCTCCTCCTCCTCCTCCTCCTCCTCCTCCTTCTCCTCCTCCTCCTCCTCCTTCCCTTCCTCATGCTCTCCTGCCTGTGGTAGTGGTGGTGGTGGTGGAACATCGGCCTATCAGGCGCGGCCCGGAGGAGGTGGGCGCGCCGAACGGCGGGCGGCCTCACAAGAAGGCAGGCGCTATGAGCCGCGAGCATATCCGCAACCGCGCCCCCACGGTCCGAGGAGAAGGAGGAGGATGATGAGGAGGAGGAGGAGGAGGAGGAGGCGGGGGGGAGGAGGAGGAG